CACTCGATGTGTCCCTTACCTATATACATACATACATGCATACATGCATACATGCATACATACATAACCAAGCTCATAGAGAGCAGACTGGTGGTTCCAGAGGTGGGAGTGGGGGGTGAGGGTGAGGTCGGGGGTGTGAGAATTGGGTGATCTGTTTGTTGATTTAGTTTAAATACATTGAAAACACCCACAATATTATGTTTTAAAGAATTTTTGTCTGTGATTACAAAAGAATACAAGTATCTTACAGAAAATTTAGAATAGTATAAAGAAGAAATTTAAAATAATCTGTAGTCCACATGGGTGGAGCTGGTCTTCAGAGATGGCCTCAGAATGAGCCGTGCCTCCCAGTATCCCCACTCTGTGTAGTCCCCTCTCCTTGAACTTGGCTGGCCCTGAAACTTGTTTTTGACCATTAGGATGCAGTGGAAGTGATGCAGAATGACTTCCGAGGCTCAGTCCCCAGGAGCCTTGTGGTTTCAGCCGGGTCTCTCGGAATACTTGTTCTTGGCCGCTGTGCGAAATCCAGCTGCCCTGCTAGGCGAAGCCACAACCAGGGAGAGCCCACGTGCAAGTGCTCTGGTTGACAGCCCCAGCTGAGCTCTTTGCCGACAGCCAGTGCCAACTGCCAGCAGTGTATGTCTTGTGGACGTCCAGCCTGGCTGAGCCTCTAGGTGCCGACAGTCTCCGCTGACATGTTCCGGTGTCCACATGTGAATGACCCCACCTGAGGACCGCCCAGCTAAGCCTAGTCAACCCACAGAACCATAAAGGATACTCATAAAGTATTTTAAGCTACTAAGTTTTTTTGGGGAAGTGTAGGTGTTGTTATACAGCAACAGATAACAGGCAAGCGTGTGGGCTAGTTTCAAAGTAAACTCGTTTTAGGGAGCATATTGAGGCAAAGGAACTTAGACTCTAGGGCCAGGTCTACCGGCTTGATGTACGTTACTGCTCAGTCACACACTAGCTGTGTGACCTTAGGCCAGTTATTAGCTACTGTGAACCTTCATTTCCTATATTTGTTAAATCGAAATTGGGAGATTTAAAGGTATTCAGTGTCTGGCATATTGTAGGTACTAAGTAAATTTTAGTTTCCATTAGAGAAACACACGTGCACATTATGGTATGTAGCTATTACATACATATTACAGTTAGTTGGTAACTGTACACTCATAAAAACTGAAATCTTTCTAATAAACTAGAACCAGTGTATAACAAGTGTTATTTTCTTTTTAGTCAACTTCATTGAGATATAATTTATATACAGTAAAAATTCATCCTTTTTAGTATATAGTTTTGGGTTTTGACAAATGGATAGCCTCTAACCACCACAACAATCAGACATAGAACAGTTAACCCCCAGACTTTTTTCCCCACCACCCCTAGCCACTCACTTGTTTTTCTGCCCCTATAAGTTTTGTCTGTGCAAAAATATCATATAAATGGGATCATGCAATAAGTAGCTTTTTGAGTTTGGCTCCTTTTACTTAGCATAATATATCTGATAGTATGTTGTATTAGTAATTTTGTTCCTTTTTACTGCTGAGTTTCAGTATATGGCTGCACTACAGTTTGCCAGTTTGCTTATCCATTCAGTGGTTGTTTGCACATTTTGATGATTATGATGTTGCTATAAATATTTGCATACAGTTTGTGTGTGTGTTTGTGTGTGAGAGAGAGATTAGTGGGTTTACCGGTGAGTATATATTTAGCTTTATAAGAATCTGCCAAACTGTTTTTCAAAGTGGCTGTGCCATTTTGCATTCTCACCAGCAATGTGTGTGAGTTCCAACAGCTCTGCACCCTTGCCCACACTTTGTATTGTCAGGGTGTTTTTAAAAATTAACATTTTAGCTGTTTTAATACATGTGTAATGTTATCTTACGTGACTTCAGTTTGCATTTCGCTAGTGACTAATGGTGTCGAACCCCTTGTCTTGTACTTATTTACCATTATATTATCTGTTGAACTGTGTTCTAAGCTTTTGCCCTTTTAAAAAAGAATCAGACTTTATTTTTGAGTTTTGAGAGTTCTTTGGATAGTCTGGATTCAAGCCTTTTATCAGATGTATATATATACACACACACATATACACATATAATCTATATCTCTATCTACCTATCTGTCCATCTATATTGGCTTTATAAGAAACTGTTAATAGTTTTTACACCTTGGTGAAACAGGAGAATGATGTGGAGAGCTTTACTATAAACACATTCCTAGCCCTACTTGATATCAACTCAATCTCTTAGAGATGGTTGTGGGGATCTTAGTTTTGTTGTTGTTAATCCTCCCTTGAGGATATTTTTCCATAGATTTTATTTTGTAGATAGAGTGGAAGGGAGGGAAGGACAGAGAGAAAGAGAAATATGGATGTGGGAGAGACACATCGACTGGTTCTCTCCCGCATGACTCCAACAGGGACCTTGACCAGGAATCGAACCCAAGACTCTCTGGTTCTATCCACTGAAACAAACAGGCCAGGGTGGAATCTAGTTTTTATACCCAGATTAAATATTTGGATTTATACAGTGCACGTTTGGATTATCTTGGCTGAGAATACTGTGGCCATGATCCTGGCCTACTCTTATTTCAGGTTTTTACAGTGGCAGCTTATTTCTCGATCAATGTTAAAGAATGAGTGGCATTTCTTTTTCCTCTCTAGTAACTGAAATTTGTTCCTCTAAAATAGAGATCTGCAAAATATGGCCCTTGGCCCACTCCAGCTCACCCACTGCTTGTTTTATATAGTCGGCAGGTGAGCTGAGAATAGTCGTAACATTTTTTAATGATCGAAAGAAAGAGAGGAAGACGAATGCTTTGTGATATGTGAAAATGACATGAAATTCCAGAGCCTATAAGTACAGTTTCATTAGAATATATCATTTGTTTATGTACTGCTTCTGGTTGCTTTTGTGCTACACAGACTAGATGTGTAGTTGTGGCAGAGACCCTATGACTGGCAAAGATTAAAATTTTTAATCTGGTACTTTATAGAAAAAAAATGATTTCTTTTAGACCATTTGCAATGAAATTTTTAAAGAACTTCCTTATTTAATCATTTTGTTGATATTTCAGTTTTCATTGTGAGCATCAGTTATTACAAGTTTTATTTAATGTAATGGTGCTGGTGGAGAGTATTGGTGATAGAACTTTTATGACAGCATATTTTATTTTTATAGTGACTTTAAAAAATATAGACCTATTTTTTTAAGAAGAAAAAAATTTATACTCCATATAAATTTCTAGGGGCTTTAGAATCAATTAAGTAAGTAGAAATCTTACGAAAGTAAAAGTATGCCATACCTTGGAGTTGCATGAGTAAAGTGAATGAGTAAACAGGTTCAGTTTTTAAAAGAAGTTTGCTTATGACTTTTAGCTTATTTGTTATTACCAGCTTTCTTCAAAACGTGTTATTGACATTTGCATGAATGAAGTGTCTCTTCGTCTTCTTGGAAACTTGTATCAGAAGTACCTAGGCTTATTTACCACCAGACATGGAAGGCTTAGTGTGTAATGTGTAGCCCCAGTCCTGATACAGCTCTTCAAAGACCAAATTTCAGGGGAGTCTCCACTGGACTTTTTGGCTTTTATTTTTGTTATGAGTCATAAAGGCTGAGTCACTTTCCATTAGCTTTACTCCAGAACTTTTAACTGCATGTGGTAAAACGGTGAATGACTTATAAGGAGAAATTTTCCTCTTCACTGCCTTATCATCAACAACAAAGTTGTTTTCTTTATTGACTGTATAGAGGAGTGCATGATTTTTAAGTATTATATTCACTAATTTTTGAGTAGCACCTTCTCACCAAATACTTTGAAATATTAGCTTTTTTTTTTTTTTTTTCATATGAGGTTTTGTAAGTAGACTGTTAAGGTTGGCAACTATTGTCATAAAGTAATTTTCTTTTTTTTTTTTTTATCCTCACCCAAGGACATTTTTCCATTTTTTGTTCAGGTAGAGTGGGAGGGAGAGAGAGGAACAGAGAGAGAGAGAGAAACATCGATGTGAAAGGAACACATCGAGTGGCTGCCACCCGCACAACCGACCAGGGCCGGGGACAAACTGGAACCGAGGTACGTGCCCTTAGCGGGAACTGAACCCGGGCCTCTCAGGACCGCAGGCCGACGCTCTAACTGCTGAACCAAACCCGCCAGGGCATAAAGTCATTTTCTAGATGGGAAACCTGAAGCAGAGAAAGAGAAAGAGGGAACTTGATTAATATCCTCATCCTCCCACCTGTACATCTTGAGTTTGGCCTAACATCTGGGCCAGCAGCTGTTGTGGAAAGGACTGTTACTCTCAGGGTCTGCAGTTACAGATCACTCTCTGGCTTTGTCTGCGGACCATTCCTTATCCTGTCAGTGATTGCTGGATTCTAGTTTGACAGGTCTGCTTCTATTGTTTTCCCAGGTTTCCGCAGTCAGAACTCATTATTCAAATTAGGCTTTAGTGTACCCACAAAGCAGTTCTTCTTTTCTTTTTATGGTTTCCCCATTAAAGCTCCACAAAGTTATCTTTGAAAGATTATTTTGGCTCTGTGTATGTGGGAGGGGACAGATTGGGGATTTAGAAAATGGTTAGGAAGCTATTGATAGACTTCACTTTACCATGCTTTTAACATCTTTGAATTCCAGTTTGAATAACTTGGTTTCAAAGGCACTCAAGCTTCCAAGGATAAATACTGAGCCTTGAGGGCAAGGTTATTAAATAATTTATAGGCCAAACTCAGACACTGTGTGAGTAAAAAGGGTGTGATTCTAATAAATTCACCAGAATAGGTGTACACTGATGACCATACAACTGAAGGAGACATTGCTGAAATATTATTGACAGTTGGATATGACTGAATGAGAGGTCCTTATTATGAAAACTTTTCTGGATATATAATGTCAAGTTTTCATTGGTACTTAGAATCTAAAGGACTCATGTTTCCCATAGACTGTCTTGAGGTTCTTAATTTGTTTTCTATTTAATAATTAATTACTAAATGAGATATATCTGTTCTGCAGAATGTGGTTATAGTCATTAAGGTTTTATTTAGCTATTCATATTTGGATATCAAAATTCTATTTTTATTTAGGTTTCTTTTAGATCCCAATTTATGGTTTCTCCCCATATATCCTCCCCAAATGTGGGGAGCAGATGTGGAAAGGATTTGTGCAATTTAAAGGAGGTAAGAAATGCACACACTTTTGATTTTTACTTGTCAGTATAGGATATAACAGTCATTTTCTTTTTCTTTTTTCTGTTACTTCTCACCAGAGGATATTTTTCCATTGATTTTTAGCTAGAGTGGAAGGGAGGGGGGTGGAGAGGAGAGAATCATCTATGTGAGAGAGACACATCAATTGGTAGCCTCCTGTATGACCCCGACCGGGGCCAGGGATCAAACCTGCAAATCAGGTACGCTGAGCAGACATTCTAACCACTGAGCAAACTGACCAGGGCATAACTGTCATTTTCTTTGTCATTTTAAATAGAGTAAGAGGCTGCCTTTTTAATGCATACATTTCTGCTCTGCATCTTTTTTTGTCTGTTATGCATCTTTTCAGTAATTGCATTCCTTCTATAATTATCTTGCAGTGTTTATGCTAATTTACTAATACATTAAAGAATATATCTAAGTTGAAATCAAGCTTGTAGTATAAAATTTAACTGTAGCAGACTAACCTCTTTCTAAAGGGAAGTACTTTTTTTTTTAACATATGTTTTTATTGATTTTTTGAGAGAGGGGAAAGGGAGAGAGAGAGAGAGAGAGAGAGAGAAACATTGATGTGAGAGAGAAACATTGATCGGCTACCTCCTGCGCGCCCCATGCTGGGGATTGAGCCCGCAACCCAGGTATGTGTCCTGACCGGGAATCAAAACGGGACTTCTCAGACCTCAATCCACTGAGCCACACTGGCCAGGCTAAAGGGAAGTATCTTGAACTTAGACTGTGAAGCTTGGTTTTGTACATCTCCTCTTTACCACTTACTATGTAGGACGGCAGAGAAAACACTAAATATTTCTAAACTTCAGTTTCTTTATGTTTATTGGAGGTAAAATTTACTATGCCTAATACAGAAGCTTGTGATGAGAGTAAACTCAATAAATGGATATCAGCACATTTTGTAAAACACTGTGGTGTACATTCAGCCTCTTGATATTACTCTTCAAGTTGCCCTGTAATACTGTTTTTCCTTCCTCCAGACCATTGTTTCTATGACCCCTAGTCCTCTTCCTGGAATTTCTGTCTACAGTAGCCAAATATAGGCCATCTGCGCCCATGACACCCTTCCCTGGTCTAGCTCAAATGCTGACTCTCTGTTAAGTCTACTCTGCTTCTTTCCTGTGTGTGTCTTCAACCCACTTTGAAGTACTTCCTTAAGCAACATGTCTTAGTCTCTGTGTTGGTCTACTAGTTCTCCCTCAAGAGCTGCCTGATCTCAGTGTTTCTTGGGGATCCTCACACATAGCAGATACTCCAGAACACTTGTCAGACTGTCTGACAGCTTGTGCTCCGTAGGCCAACTGACTTGAGCTAACTGAACTTGGCACCATAATAAGAGCTGTGATCATTTACCTGAATTCACTAGGACTTGCAAGTCATTTACTTTTTCTTATATGAGTTTTTCCCATTTCTCACATTTTTGTAAGAGGTTTATTGGTTTTTTAAAATCATAAAAATAATTTTGACTCTTAAAAAAAGAAGTGAGTCAATCGAATCTTCTAGAGCAGAAAGGTATTTGGTCAGCTTGTCTTCCTGTTGGCAGATGCAGGCTGCCCCTGGTTTTCTTTCACTTCCTCTTCAGGGGAATCCCAGGATAGCCAAGCTGTTGCTGCTGAAGCCAGTTTCAGTAGCAATACAGAAAGACATCCAAGCACTTAGAACACATTCCAGGTAAACTTACATAATGTGGTGATCTTTAAGAAACTTTCTGAACATGGAAGGTGTTCACCTTCCCAGCCTGTACTCTAATCCTCAGACCTCAGGTAAACCTTTTAGTAAATGGCACTGTCTACATTCATATTCATTGGATAGGAAGTGACTGATAACATGGTCTCATGTTACTCTGATACTGAAGGCTCTGTGAGAGCTTTTAGGTGAAAACAGGAAAAGTCTACCTTTTTATAAGACATCAAGTTAAACGAGAAGTTATTTTAAGATTTATTGGTGGTTAAAGTTACTGTACTGTACAGATGGGTGAAAGCAGATGTTAATCATTTTGTATGTTAGAAATAGTAAGATCCACAGCAACAATGAAGAAAGCAGTATTAGGTGCAGGAGAAAGTTAACACAACCCTCATCCTGTGTGGATGGTCTTTCATATAGACTGTGACTGTCACTTTTTAGATGATGTGCTTGTTTTGAAGAGACAAATGTATGTCACTTATATTCAGCTACATTTCATGCAACCCTATATCCGAGTTGGATGTGTTCTTAAAGAGAATTTGGACTACTTTTTACAGGTCAGGGCACTGAGGTTCTCATTTGGAAAATGATGTGTTGAAGGTCACTTTCTGAATCGCTGACAGCCAGAATTAACTCTGACAGGCATCTAGAATTAAGAACAGGGTTCTTTGTACTTGAACTTTTTGTTCCTTACATACTACAATAAAGCTATTATACTTCTATAATGTAGGTAAGAAATATCCACCTTTCTTACATTAAAGATGCCAAAATGTCATGTGGATTTGGCAGAAAGCTTTTATTTGAGCGACACAAAGACTAGAGGTTAGGAAATGTATTTAGTTTTAGGCATGCAGTATTTTAAATCCACGTGTTAGTATGTTGTTTAGATTTTGACTGGCTGTACTTTGACTCAATAGTCTATCCTCCTGTCTTTCTTGATGGTGGTATTTTGATGATTCTTCTATTTTCTTAAACTATAATTTCATGACTTTCACACAGAATTATACTTTGCTTTCTAATACTGGACATTCAACTGAATAACATTCGGAGTGTTGGAGCTTGTTAAACAGTCCAGGCAAACTGATTTCTCTTTAACTCGGGCCCACAACGTGTATACGAAGCTTGTTCACTCTCAATTGGGCATAAGAAGTTAGAAAGAGTTATAGAAATGTAGTAAAATGCTGATTATATTATAATTCCTTTCCAGGAAACATTTTAATACATTCATAAGAGGAAGTAGTGATTGCATATTTCATTGTAAATTTTATACAACAAAAGTGACTGGATCTGTGATAATCAGTGACTTAGTGGGACCTGACTAGTAGAAGCACTTAATAGAAAATAACTCATTAACTCTGATGATGCCAATATAATAGGTTCTATTTATTGAACTTCCTCTTATTGGGTGACAGATATTTTCTTTGCCCTTCACTTTATCTAATTTAGTCCTCATGATATTTGTCTCCTTTTATAGATGAGGAAACTGAGGCTCAAAGACATTAAAATTAGCCCAAGGTTTTTTTGTTTTTTTTTGCCTATAAATAAGCAGTATTTTCATCCTGATCTGTAAAGTTGTTTTTTTCTCTGAAATATTCTTTAAACACCAGGCAAAATCCAAAACAACCCACTTGATGCACTCTGCTTACTTTTGTATTGTTGAAGGCATCTCAGCTTCCTCCTTACTAGAGTTTATCACTGGGCATCCGTGTTTGCTTCTCTCTTCCCATAGCACCTGCTGAGTTTCCAGCTTTCTTTGAGAATAGAGAACCATCAAAAAGTCACATTTAGTCCGGCCGGTGTGGCTCAGTGGTTGAACATCAACCCATGCACCAAGAGGTCGCCAGGACATATGCCCACGTTGTGGGCCCAGTCTCCAGTGCAGGGCATGCAGGAGGTAGCCATTCAGTATTCTCTCTCATCGATGTTTCTGTCTCTCTCGTCCTCTCTCTCTAAAATCAATAAAGGAAAAAAAAAATTTTAAAAAAAGGTCACATTTAAGTTAAATACCACTAAGGTGAATATCCTTATTTGATGAACTGCATAAAGAGCCACAGTGGTTATTGACAGAATCGGTTCTTAAAATCTACACACAACTCCCTGTTGTCTGCATAGGAGTTTTCTGGGTATACTAGCTTCTTCCAATTTATTGTTGGGTTGTTTCCTTCTTCTGTATAGGCTCTGTTTATAGGAGAGGAAATCCACTTTTAATTTAAGCCTACATTATAATGAGGAAGGTAAGTCTCCTGATCTTCTGGGAGGCATTTCCCTAGATTAGTGTGAACTGGGTTGATTCTAGGAATGTACCCATGGTCTCAAGATATCTTTAAGAAAAATATATTTCTCGTTACTAAACATCACCAATTATTGAACATATGGGAGAATAATTCCAGAAAATTTAGGATTTACCCATTTGTTCTGTTCACACTTTTAGATTTACATAATCCAAGATTACTGGAAATGTGTAGATTCTGACAAATGATTATCAGAGTTGAAATGTGAATGTTATAATTTGTTTGATGGGAACAAGATTCTGAGAAAATATTTTTACTGTCCCTACTAATCTCATGACCACTATTTACAAGAACATTTTGGGGGGGGGGGGTTGAGTACTACTTTAGATTTTCTTTTTTTGAAATTGAAATTAATTGACTAATTCTAATAGGAGAGAAAGTGCTAGCTATAGTATCTCCTTGCAGAAGAGAAGTTGAAAGTGGAAATGCCTGACTCAAGGATAAATAGAACTTACAGTAGCCAGTACTTAAGGAAACTCTGGTAATATGAAGCCAATAAACCAAAATGGTTTTTCTTCCCTTGGTGTAAACTTGTACTTAGGTTGGGTTGGATGCGATCTTTTGGGTTTTAATGGGCATGACTGGGTTTATCCTGCAGAAGTTTAAAGAGATGGGTGGCTTTTCTTTCTAGGTTAAGGCAAACAGAGAAACCAGACTATTGGAGGGCTGCCAAACCATTTGAGGGCTTGTTTAGGTGCCAGGAAAAGTGCCATTCAAGTAGTGGAGCAGCACCAGGTTGGAGTTTCTCTAGGGATACATGGAATCAAACTAAAAGAAATAAATTCTTACTATCTGGGTTTTCTTAGTGGAAAACTGCTTTGAAAAAAATCCTGTCTGCTATTGATTATCTAATGGTATTTGCCCTTTGAGTACTCCACGCGGTTCTCAATGGTCTATTGTTTTCTACATAGAATGTCTCTATCAGAATAATGTGTGAGTATTTTTAAAAAATATGTACAATTTTTCTGCAGTGCACAAGTATTTACA